CAGGTAGCGGGCGGCGCTGCGAAGCAGGTAGCGGGCGAGCGGGCGGCGCTGCGAGCGGGCAGCGAAACGGGCGGGCCGCGAAGCGGGCAGCTAGCGGGCGGGCGGGCTGCGAAGTGGGCGGGCTGCGAAGCGGGCAGCGGGGCGAGCGGGCTGCGAGGCGGGCGGGCCGCGAAGCGGGCAGCGGGCGGGCGGGCGGGCTGCGAAGCGGGCAGCGGGGCGAGCGGGCTGCGAAGCGGGCGGGCCGCGAAGTGGGCAGCTAGCGGGCGGGCGGGCTGCGAAGTGGGCGGGCCGCGAAGCGGGCAGCGGGGCGAGCGGGCTGCGAGGCGGGCGGGCCGCGAAGCGGGCAGCGAGCGGGCGGGCGGGCTGCGAAGTGGGCGGGCCGCGAAGCGGGCAGCGAGCGAGCGGGCTGCGAAGCGGGCGGGCCGCGAAGCGGGCAGCGAGCGAGCGGGCTGCGAAGCGGGCGGGCCGCGAAGCGGGCAGCGAGCGGGCGGGCGGGCTGCGTAGCGAGCGGGCCGCGAAGCGGGCAGCGAGCGGGCGGGCGGGCTGCGAGCGGGCGGCTCGGCGAGGGGCGCGCGAGGGCGCTAGTGAGGGGCGCGCGAGGGCGCTAGCAAGGGGCGCGCGAGGGCGCTAACGAAGGGGCGCGCGAGGGCGCTAACGAAGGGGCGCGCGAGGGCGCTAACGAGGGTGCGCGCGAGGGCGCTAACGAGGGGCGCGCGAGGGCGCTAACGAGGGCGCACGAGGGCGCTACGAGGCTAGGGCACGGGGTAGCGTGGTAACCGCATGCGAGCGGTGGTGGGCCCTTAAAAAACGGTCGGTAGGTCCTAGGGACCTCCTGCTCTGAATACCATGTCAGAATCACTAGGCAAGAATGATGCATTGAATGAAACAGTTGGGTACAAGTAGCAAACCCTAGTTGGGGTTGTACCCCATATTGGCTACCCCACTACAGCCTACAAGCATAATACAGTTTAACACAAACTGCCAAGCTTCATCCGACGAACTCGTGGATCTTGTCCCTCTCGACTTCGCCTTCATGAACGAAGAATCGTGGCAGCATCCGGACGGACGGCCATGGATCCGGCGAAGTCCACATCCCCGCGAAATCAATCTGCACGAGCCCGACATCAACGGCCTCTGCACCACCTGCCACACGCCCACGGCGAGCCGCACGGAGCAAGTCGAAAGAGAGTACGCGGCGATCCAGGAGGCAGAAAGCGCTGAGGAGGAACCAACTGGCATGACAGAAGAAGAACTAGCTGTAGCAACTTACCGCATCTTCGGAGAAGAAAACAAGCAGTTCGGTCAACAACCGGTGCCACGCCCAACGCCGCGCTCCGACACCCTCCGCTTCATGCTCGAAGCCAACACCAGCACCTTCGATGAAGAAAATCCACCGCGCCCGTACACCCGCGAAGTTTATCGCCGCGAAATTGACCCGGCGTGGAAAGACCCTGACGCAGAAGGAGAACTAAGCATCAAGGAAGAACGAGAGAAGGCCAGGGCAGAAAAGAAACAGAAGCTGTACGAGGAACGCGTTGCGGCAGGATGGAGCGAGGAAACCGCACGACGAGGGGCATGGGGAGATGAAGATTACGAACCAGAGGAAGGCGCCACTTCAGGATCCGCTACTGGCGCCTGGGGTACTGCAGCCAGAGGCATGGTTACCACAGGTGGATGGGGCACGGCAACACCAGAGGAGGCAGAACTAACACAGGAAACTGGAGAAAGCAGAACGAGAGATGCGAGCTGAGCGCGGAGAAGAATCTCCCCGCGTCACCATACCCCTCGGGCGACCGCCACCCGCACACTCGCCTCCACGTTCACCCCACCGATGGGAAAGCACCTGGACAGAGCTTGAGGAGGGGAACATACCTCCAACACCAGCACGAGACTCTCTCGGTCCAATCTCTCGTCCAGATCCATTTGCGCGCCTCATCGAAGGCACGAAGACGCCGCTAAATACCATCCCCGACCGCGAATTTCTCGCCCTCTATCTCACAACGGCACCTGCAGAAGGGGAGACAACGACAGAGGCAGAAGAAGAGGGGCCCGAAGCAGAACCAGGACAGGAAGAAGTTCCCACCACCACAGGCACCACCACCGTGTCAGGCCTCCAGCTTCTCGGCCTACACGCATCCGTCTCTACCCTTGCCCGGGCTGCAGAACCCAAGAACCCTCGCCAGGCCCTAACCGGCCCCCACGCCAAGGAGTGGCGTGCTGCGATGGATGCGGAGCTAAAGGCGCTGGAATCCCGTAACACCTGGGTTCTAGTCGATCGTGCAGCAGTGAAGGGGAGAAGGGTACTGAGCAGCAAGTGGGTTTTTCGTCTGAAAACTAACGCTGACGGCACTATCGAGCGTTTTAAAGCCCGGTGGGTCGTACGAGGATACGACCAGCGCCACGGCATTGACTTCGATCAAACCTTTGCTCCCGTCAGCCGTCACACCTCAGTCCGAATTCTACTCGCCATTGCCGCCGCTAAGCATCTGCCACTGCGACAGATCGACGTGAAGAACGCGTTTTTATACGCGTTGGTGGACGCCACCATCTTTGTGGAACAGCCACACACCTACGGAGAAGGTGATCCCAGGGTCTGTCAACTGAAGAAGTCCCTCTATGGGATCAAGCAAGCGCCTCGTCTCTGGCAGCAGCATCTGCACAAGATCCTGATCGAGATATGTTTCAAACAGCTGCCGCACGACCCGGGAATGTACCGCCTCCACTTCAACGGCGACTACATCCTCCTCACCGTCTATGTCAACGACCTGCTGTGCACTGGCACCTGCAACCAGCTGGACTTGGAGCGCGCCCTGCAGTACTTCATTTCCACACCTGACATCGGGCTCTCCTACTCCACGCTGTCAACGACATCCTTCAACCTCAACGGCTATGTGGATGCCGATCATGCCGCTGACCCAGCGAATCGACGGTCCCGAACCGGCTTTGTCTTCCGCTTGGAGCCAACTGGCCCCATCTCCTGGAATTCGCAGAAGCAGGAACTGGTTGCTCTGTCATCGGCCGAAGCTGAATACATCGCCGCGACAGCAGCAGTTCGCGAAGGTCTGTACCTGCAGGAGCTGCTACAGGAAGCGAAAATCCCAACTTCGCCCACCTTTCGCCTGCACTGCGACAACCAGAGCGCGATCAAGATCGCGAACAAGCCTGGGTTCGTGAACCGCACAAAGCACATCGCACTGCGGTACTTCTTCGTCAAAGACGAAATCGACCAAGGCAAGGTTGACCTCGCATACTGCCCAACCACTGAAATGGCAGCCGACTTCCTTACCAAGTGGCGGCCACGTCAGCAGTTCAAACACTGCTCTAATCTCATTGGAGTGGTCAAGCAAGTCAGCATCCTTCGCGTTCAGGAATGAAGGGGAGTGTTACGATACGAAGTTCAATGAGAAGGCATTCCTGTACGCTGCAGGAGCCGACTCTACCGAGTACGAAGACGAGGAGTCAGAAGAATCGAAGCGACACAGCAACCGCCTGATCGAGACCGATGCAGGCAGAGACATTTGAAATGAAAAGAGCGGGAACAGGTTTGAAACTGACTCCCGCGCCGCACGGTTTGAAATTCACTGCAATAAGGGAATGTACCCCTTAGAGTACATGGCTAGTCTAGGTCGTTTCGCATTCCTTTGTATTTCTATATAAACCCTATGTATGCATGCTATTATCATCTCAGTCATTTTACATTCACTCTGACCTGAGTTCACTACTTCCGCTGCAACACTACCTGCGATCAACCCTGAACGATCCTTTCGCTAAGTCCCACTTCAGATTGTAACAGCCTTGAAAGATCCTAAGGGCCTTTTCTCAGCCCAACAGTGCGGGGCTTAAGGGGCAGAGAAGTAGTGGTGCGCGGGGCAGAGCAGCGCTTTGCAGCGCGTGCGGGCAGCGTGAGCAGCGCACGGGCGGCGCTGAGCAGGGCAGTGAGCGTGCGGCAGCAGCACAGCAGCGGGACGAAGCTCGGCAGGGCAGGGCAGGGCGGCGCGTGCGGAGCAGCGTGCAGGGCAGGCTGCAGCACGGGTGGCAGGGTGGGCGGCCATGCTGCAGCTTGGGCGGCAGCGCAGCAGGACAGCAGGGCGAGCAGGGCAGCAGGACAGGGCACTGCAGGGCGGCAAAGCAGCGCGTAGGCAGCGCATGCAGGCAGGGCGCGCGCAGCAGGCAAGGCGCGCGAGGTGCAGCGGGCAGAGCAACGCGGAGCGTGCGGGCAGTGCGCGGGCCCCGCGCGAAGCAACGCAGCAGCGGGCAGCGCGAGCAGCTCGCGGGCAGCGCGGAGGCAGCAAGCAGGCAGCACGCTGGCAGCGGACGGGCAACGTGCAGGCAGCGAGCGGGCAGCAGGCGGGCAACGCGAACAGCGCACTGGCAGCGTGCGGGTCGCGCGCGGGACAGGGCAGGCACGATCACGTGGGGCAAGGCGGCTCTATTGGGCGGCCGGGTCGCGATCGTTAGGGGCAGGTTAGAAAAATTGGGTGGGGCAGAACGAACGGTGGGCCCTAAAAAAAAAATCGGTCCTAGGGACCTACGTGCTCAGAAACCATGTCAGAAACTAACGAGCAGGAATGAGTGCATTGAGTGGAATGAGGAATACAAGTGTGAAACCCTAATGGTCTTCAATTCAACACTATCATTATATCCGGGCGATTACGGTCTATGGAATTTGCCACTCTCATGCGCACACTTTCCCAGTGTGTTCCTTGGAGCACAGGATGCTTGGAATTCCATATCAGGCCCCAAGAGACATCAATGTATGGTGCAAGCATAACACTTGGTTCATGCAACAGTGGTTGCTGTGAGCTCATTGAGAGTCCGTGGTAATCACGGCCATCAACACGGCATGCACGGTGGAGCAGGGCAGTAGCAGGCAGTGGCAGGCAGTGGCAGGCAGTGGCAGGCAGTGGCAGGCAGTGGCAGGCAGTGGAGGGCAGTAGAGGGCAGTGGAGGGCAGTGGCAGGCAGTGGAAGGCAGTGGCAGGATGTGGCAGGCAGTGGCGGTCAGTGGCGGCGCCATGCAGTGACGGTGAGAGCAGCCGCGGCCACGCCCCCCAGAGCCATGCCGGCCAGCAAGCAGCGCCACACCAGCGGCGAGAACAAGGGCGCGGGGGGCGCAGGCATGCGCAGCAGCGCTGCTACCTGCAGGTGCATGGGAAGCAGGCAGAGGGCGGGGGGTTCCTCACGTACACTTGTGAGTGTGTGCGTGTGTGCGTATGTGTATGTGTGTTGAATGGGTGCGGGTGTGTGGGCGGGTGTGTGTGTGCATGTGTGTGTGTGCATGTGTGTGTGTGTTTTGTGTGTGTGTGTGTGTGTGTGTGTGTGTGTGTGCGTGTGCGTGTGTACTTGCATGTGTGCATGGGTGTGTGTGTGTGTGTGTGTGTGTGTGTGTGTGTGTGTGTGTGTGTGTGTGTGTCACTGTCAATGTCGGTGCGCTCACATCGATGTCGGTGCGCTCACATCAATGTCGGTGTGCTCACGGCCCAGTTCGGCAGCCACGCGGAAGAAAAATGTGACGAAGATGAGGCGAAGGTAAGGCGGGCGTCAACCCAAGGTCAACGAATTTTGACCCCAGATTGACCGCTCCGCGGACAGCCTGCGCCGTGGGGGAGCTGGCGCAGGTTGGAGGGGGAAGATAGGAAACACCACCGCATGTCCAGGCACATTTGCCTGGGCACATTTGCCTGGGCACATTTGCCTGGGCACATTTGCCTGGGCACATTTGCCTGGACATTCGAATGTCCCTGGGCACTGTAGCGGGCTTGCCCCAAACGAAAAAAGGGGAGACCGCCCCACGCTATTGGAGTAAATTTTTTGTGTGCATTAACCTTTTCCCTTTTTTGGTACAATGTTGCCCGTGAACAGAGATTCTTCTGGAATCAAAAAGTTGATTCTTGTATTTTGGAAGAATCCTTTTTTTCTTCCGTCTCACTAGGGCGGAAGCTTTCCGCCATGGGGGGGGGAATAAGGACAGAAGACGGCGCGGTATCAATTTTAGGTGGTGTTCGCGACGCTGCTGCTAAACACCTGCGCTTCGATTTCCGAAAGTTTTACCCTACAGCCCGCACTGTTTTGCCCTCGATAATGCGATTGGAAGCTTCGGTGAAGACGGGAACATTTTTCTTCAGACCTTCTTCCGTGGCTGCCGAACTGGGCCCACATCAATGTCGGTGCGCTCAAATCAATGTCGGTGCGCTCACATCAATGCCGGTGCGCTCACATCAATGCCGGTGCGCTCACATCAATGCCGGTGCGCTCACATCGATGTGGGTGCGCTCACATCAATGTCGGTGCGCGTCCAATGGGCAGTGATGCCCGCCACGTGCCCCTTGCCCACCACCGCCACCACGCGTGAGCTCCGCTTTGCCACGTGCCGCAGCATGCACGCCATGTACCTGACAGGGAGGGGAGAGGAGGGGGATGTGAGTGGGCGGGGGGGCGGTTAATAGTGACAGGTGATGGAAAGAGAGTGTAGGGGCCTGAACAGACCCCCACCCCCTCCCACCCAGAATATTAAGCGTGTCCCCAACCCGGCACCCACCCTGCCCCCCAACCTGGCACCCACCCTGCCCCCCAACCTGGCACCCACCCTGCCCCCCAACCTGGCACCCACCCTGCCCCCCAACCTGGCACCCACCCTGCCCCCCAACCTGGCACCCACCCTGCCCCCCAACCCGGCACCCACCCTGCCCCCAACCCGCCTGTATCCAGAAAATGTGGCCTGGACTGCTACAGCCAGCTCACCTGCTCTGGGAGTTCCGACCACACAACCCCAACCCAACCACCCCCATTGCCTTGATAGCATTCACCACATTACCTACCACTCATGGTTATCTCCCAGCATAGATCAGCCTGTTTGAATATCACCTCTGCCTCTGTCACCTCTGCCTCTCTCTCTCTCTCTGCCTCTCTGTACCAGATTGAATAAATGACAAGGAGCGTTCAGGCGAGAGAGAATGGAAGGGTGGGGGGCGTACAGGTCGCGCTCGTGGATGAGGGCGTGCAGGAGCGAGGGGAAGGCGCGCCCCATCTCCGCCACGGCGAGTGACAGCAGGTCCGATGACTTGAGCTCCTCCACCTGCCATGGGGGTTTGGGGGGAAGGAGGGTGAGAGGGGGCTGTAAAATTCCACCACTAAAGCAGTTTGATAGAGCTTGGAAGCACGTCTCTAACGCACCAAATATTTCAGGAAACGCTCAAGAATGGCCAAAGATACACACCAAAATAGCAGTGATAATGAGTAAGTTGAAATCTGGTTTGTGCAAACGAGACGAGAATTTCCGCGATCAGAATTCTGTCGCCCACCGACTGTAACTCCCGTGCGAATTCCGTTGACTTCGACACTTCGCTGACGAGTTTTAATTCGAACGCGTTCTAAGATTGGTCTCGCCAAACTGTCTTGAGATGATTTTCTTGGGGCACTTGAATCGAAAGATCTCTAGTTCGAAACTCGCGTGCACCATAACCATCGCCACAGCACAATCTATCCAAAATCTGTCCTGTGACACTTTGAAGGTCACAGGTTCCATTCCTAGCGCCGGCATTTTGTTGCTCATGACAACATTTCTTTCTAACAGGGGTGGCATGCATGAGTGCGGACAGAGCAGGCACGTGGCATGGATGTGAGCAAGGTGAAAAAAAAAACAAACAAACATTTTTTTTCCAAGTTTGACCGTACAATACCGTATCGTAAAAATCAATCGTAAAAAACGATAGAAACTGTTTATAAATGATATGGCATTTGGGTGGAAATAAACCATCGTCTTTTCCCAAAGGGAAAATACCATAAAAAATAAGGAGCATTTTTCGACAACCGTATTTTTCGACCTTGGCTATGGGCCTGGCATGGCTGTGAGGCGTGGCATGGGGGAGGTGAGGCAGGGGCAGCGGTAACAGATGTGACATCTTGAGCAGAGGGCGGACAGGAGGGACGGCAGCAACCTAACACGCCGGATCCCTAGTGCGCTGGTAGACTGCATTGACTCACGAGGTGGTGGAGCTCGGCCTTGGAGGGCAGGCAGAGCGCGTGCAGCAGCAGCAGCGCCACGAGCTTCACTCGGTGCCACCGACTCATCATCGCCCACGTGCGCCTCAGCGTCACCTGCCATGCCATGCCATGCCCGCCAGGATGAGGAGAGGGGGGAGGGGGAAGGGGGGAGGAGGGGGGGTAGAGGGGTTGACGCGACTCCAAGCGGCGTCGTGGTGAATGGCTGCCAACAACTCGTTGCCTCCCACGAGGCCATGCAGCCGCACCCCTCCTGCACGCTTCTTCCCCCCCAACCTGCACGCTTCTCCAACCCCCACCTGCAAGCTCCCCCCCCCCCCCCCCCATCACCTGCACGCTCCCCCCCCCCACCTGCACGCTCCCCCCCCCCACCTGCACGCTCCCCCACCTCACCTGCACGCTCCCCCCCCCTCACCTGCACGGGGCGGTCGCCGAGTTTGACAACGGCGCCACACGCCACGGCCTCCTCGTACGCGGCACGGAACTCCGCCCCGGGACACACCTCCATGCGCGCTGCCACCTGGCAGAGAGGAGGGGGGAGAAACGGGCAGGGAGTCAGAAAGAGGGCAGGGCACGTCAGCATGGCAGCGAGCGAGTGAGGGGGGCTGAAAGGGATGTGAGAGGCACAGTGGTTGGGCAGCGGATATGACCATTTGTGTGATGTGCCTTGCTTCTCCACTGTGCCTTGCTTCTCCACTGTGCCTTGCTTCTCCACTGTGCCTTGCTTCTCCACTGTGGATGGGCAGGCTTGACAAAAGAGGGAAGCCCAGAAATAGGAGGTCAATTTTCGGCTCCAGCTCCCTCCTTAATGTACTCCATTCCCCCCATTACCTTGCGAGTGCGTTCAACAGTGGGCACTCAACATCCTACTGCTTCTATGCTGTTCTCGCGGGAAGCTTGCAACATTGGCATGTGGACCCCGGTGCAGAGTGTGTGAGGGTACCTTGGCGAGCAGGTAGCCGTAGAGCAGCGCGAAGGCGTTGGACTTGTTGCTGCGCCACACCGTGATGAGCTCCGCCAGCGATGGCAGCTGACATTTGGTGGCGCGCAGGGAGGGGCGGAAACGAAACATCTAGGCAGATGAGGGCGGGATTGTGTGCATGCATGCACCACATTCTCATCTGCAACACCCACGTCTGCAAAATATGTTCCATGACAAGAGGTCCAGAAGAGGAATGATAGATGGGGGCATGGTGGGTGGCATACCTGCAGGTGGTCCATGGCATACCTGCAGGTGGTCCATGGCATACCTGCAGGTGGTCCATGGCATACCTGCAGGTGGTCCATGGCATACCTGCAGGTGGTCCATGGCATACCTGCAGGTGGTCCATGGCATACCTCCAGGTGGTCCATGGCATACCTCCAGGTGGTCCATGGCATACCTGCAGGTGGTCCATGGCATACCTGCAGGTGGTCCATGGCATACCTGCAGGTGGTCCATGGCATACCTGCAGGTGGTCCATGGCATACCTGCAGGTGGTCCATGGCATACCTGCAGGTGGTCCATGGGCATGAGCATGGCGACGCGGTCGGAGCACACCTCGAGGAACACCACCTGATGCACTCAGAGGTCAGGGAGGGAGGGAGACATTAAGCAGTGGAGTAGCGCGGTGGTGGGTGAGGAAAGGAGGCAGGCCCTGCTGCGCACATGGTAGCATGCATGTGCCACGATACATGGTTGCAATGCAAATGCCATAGAAAAACCTTTTTTGGACCTGCAGTGAAGGTGGGGAGAAGGCAAGGCATGGGAGTGCAAGGCATTGCATGGCGGCAGTGGTGAGGGCAGCCATGGGATGCGGCAAACAGGAGCCGATTCAACGACTGACAGCGACCACTTACGTCGGGTTGGACTTGGCGGATGATCCGGCGCACCTCGTTGCACGACTCCTGCTCGCCCTCATGCACACATCACAAGCACGTCACGGCTTCAGCGGCAGGCATGGCAGAGATGGTGGGATTAAATGATTCACATGGGAGCTGAGAATGCAGGGCGCTACTAGCACGGCCTGTTGCAGTCACACGAGATTGGATTGCGATAAATGCACAAGCACCATCCCAGAGCTTAACTCACAGCACCTCCTCGCAATTCTACTGATGAGCAGCAACCCAAACATGGCGGCACGGAGTACCTACCTTGGACACGTGGGCCGTGCCAATGAGGTGCACCACACACTCCGCTGCTGCCCCTCCCGCATTGCTGCCACAGCCAGCATCTCCACCATTGTCACCGCCACCAGCGCCGCCAGCACCATCATCGCCTTGCTGCTGCCGCTGATGCCGCCCCACGTGCGGGCATGTCAGCACCACCACGTTGCTCCCCCCTCCTGCACCCACCCCTCCTGCACCCACCCCTCCTGCACCCACCCCTCCTGCACCCACCCCTCCTGCACCCACCCCTCCCGCCTCCCCCTTCCCTTGCCCTTCCCCATCCGCTGCCGCAGCTGCGCGCGGCACGGCGTCACCCGGCCAGCCCGCTGCACCCCGGGCTGCCAGCCGCGCCCTCAGCTCTGCCACGCGCCCCCCTCCGCCTTCGCCTCCGCCTCTGCCTCCACCCGCCCTTGCCTGCCCGCCAGGCGCACTGCCCTCCGCTGCTCCTCGCCCCACCCGCACTGACTCCCCTGCTGCCCCTCGCGCCCCCGCCCCTGCCTCCGCCCCTGCTGCTCCCTGCCGCCTCTGCCACTCCCCAGTCATCCCCAATGAACGCGCCTTGCTGCCCCCTCTCGCTTCCCCTCCACCTCCCTGCCCCTGCCCCTGCCCCTGCCCCTGCCCCTGCCCCTGCCCCTGCCCCTGCCCCTGCCCCTGCCCCTGCCCCTGCCCCTGCCCCTGCCCCTGCCCCTGCCCCTGCCCCTGCCCCTGCCCCTGCCCCTGCCCCTGCCCCTGCCCCTGCCCCTGCCCCTGCCCCTGCCCCTGCCCCTGCCCCTGCCCCTGCCCCTGCCCCGGCCCCTGCCCCGGCCCCTGCCCCTGCCCCGGCCCCTGCCCCTGCCCCTGCGGACTGTGTCCTTGGCTGCCACACACGTTGCCCTCACCATCCCCAGCGCTGCCATCATCATCATCACCAGCACCGCCAGCAGCAGTGCCGCCATGCTCCCAGCGCTGCCTGAGGGACGCGAAGCGAGACGGCCTGCGTGCAGCGGAGGGGGCCGGCTGGGCCAAGGGGGTAGGCGGGCGGTGGAGGGGTGCCGCACATACGGGGGGTGGGGTGAGGAGCAGGAGGAGATGAGGGGGCATGGCGACCTGCAGGGGTGTGGAATGGCAGCATGTCACCCACCCATACACTCTTCATGCTTCATGCTACTGCTGAGCAGCCTCATGCACACGCCCACCTGCTGAGACTCGTCACATGCCACGGCAGCAGCATCAGCTGCCACGCGCCCTGCTGTCGCCTCGCTGCTCCCCCCCTGACGCAGCTCCACGCCGCTGCACTCCGCCATCCCACTCGCTGCCTCCACTGCTACACCCGCACTGCCACGCCCATCACTGCCTCTATGAACAGCTGCAGCACCAGCACCAGCAGCACCAGCAGCACCAGCACCAGCAGCACCAGCAGCACCAGCAGCACCAGCAGCAGCAGCACCAGCAGCACCAGCAGCAGCAGCAACGGTGTTCTCACACGGCGCCACCACCCCTGTAGGCAACCCCCCCACGGCCCCATGGACCCCGTCCGCCCCTGCCTGCACCCCTGAGCGCCCCTCGCCCTGCCCCGTGCCCCAGAAGTCATCATCCGACTCCCCCGAAGACCCGCTCGCCCCGCGCGCGCCCGCCCGCCTCTGCTGCGCCCTGCGCCGGCGCCGGCTGCTCCTCGCCTCCGCGCTGCGCCACGCCCCCCGCGGGGACGCCGCTGAAGCCCCTCCTGCCGCTGCCGCCACTGCTGCTGCCGCGGGTGCCTTGTGGTGGCGGCGCTTGGTCCTCGTCTCTGCTGCTGCCGCCACTGCAGGGCACAGCCATGGGTGGCATGCATGTTGTGCACCGCAGGGAGGGCGGTGAGGACGGGAGGAGCAGCACGTGCACAGCAGAGGAACACAATGAGCACAACAAGCACGTGAAGCAGCAACGCATCCTCACCTGACAAGGCACCTGCGGGGAGAGGTGAGCCATCCACATGCGCAGTGGGCCGCCACGCTCCCGCGCTGTCCATGGCATCGCCACTGCCGCTGCCAGTGTCCGCTGCACGCACAGCTGCTTCTGCTGCTGCCGCCACCACCGCAGAGGCAGCGAGGGCGGAGGGGGAGGCGTCGGGGGGCGAGCTGCCTGGCGACCACAGCCGCACCACGCCTGCGCTGCTCCGCGGCCTGTCCTTCTGCTCCCCCACCCCGCCCTGCATTCCCCCATGCGCTGTCGCACCGCCCGGCCCAGCAGCAGCCCCCAGCGCGGGCATCGCGGGAGCCGCGACCAGGTCACTGCCCGGCGCATGGCCGCGCACGCGGAAGCTGGGGTAGCGCCTCTGCAGCCCCGCTGCACCCGCCTCGCCACTCGCCTCGCTGCCCACCTGCTCCCCCTTATCCCCGCTCGCCCCGCTGCCTATTCTCACCACCTCTATCACCACGGGCTGCTCCGAGCCTGTCTGATCCAACGCTGCGCCCTCCGCCTGCCGCATCTCCGCCAGCCCTGCCTGCCCCCCAGCAGGGCCGCGAGGGCAAACAGCCTCCGCGTGCTCCTCCGCGCGCCCTGCCGCGCTGTCCTCACCGCCACTCGCGGTGGATGGCACATCCGCCTGCACGCCCCTCCTCGCCGCAGCCCCGCTGCTGCTCGCGTCGTTGCCGCACCCGTCCCACGCGCTGCTGCTGCGCGCCACCCCACCGCCACTGATGCCACTGCCGGCACCGCTAGCACCGCTGATACCGCTGGCAGCACCGGCAGCAGCGACATGGTCGTCACTGCCGGCGCTACTGAGAGCCTCGTCGCCCCACCCTTCTCCCGCCGCTGCTTGCATCGTCGCACCTTGTGTGACGTCAGCAGCAGCAGCGCCGCCGGCGTCGTCATCCGCAGCAGCGGCGGCGGACGCGTCCGACTGGCGGCGCCCCTCGGGGCTGTCCCACTCGCCGTCCAGCCGCCCCAAGTCGCCATACAGCGCGAAGCCCTCGCCGCCCAACCCGGAATTGCCGGGCAACGGCGAGAGAAGCGGGGAGAAGAGCGGCGACGCGGCACCGCCGGAGGATTCGAGCGGCAGAGCGACGGACCACCACGGAATGCCGCTGTTCGCGTCGCCCAGCGACGAAAGATCGCCCGACGACGACGGCTTGGCGAGCGACGCCAGCGGCGGCACGGCGGAGCCGTCGCCGGCGCGCGGGCTAGCAACCTCCGGGGTTCCCGCGACGGGGCTCATAGCGGCGTCCATCAGATCGCGCATGGAGCCGCGGCTGCGGATGGGTTTCCTGCTCCCATTGGCCAGCCCCCACCTGCCGCCAGCGGCGGGTGGGCGCGAGAAGGAACGGCTGGCGGCGGCCCACTTTGTGGCATCCGGCGCCGCATTGCCGGACCGCCTCTTGGCCTCGCCACCGTCCGCATAGGAGGTCGGCATGTCACACGTGCGACGACCACTGCGCGCGCGCGGGTGGATATACGAAAGCGAGTGACGCGTTGGTTGAGTGGCTCGAGGATTGGTGCGAAAGGGGAAGCGGTCGAACGGAGTGGTGGGGGATTGATGCACAAGGATGCAATGATGTACGGAGCGTAGATCGCGAGAGGAACTTCAGTTGGCCTTCCTGAGCAGGAAGGCAAGGTGAATGCACACAACTGGGACTGCTCTGACTCAGGAAGTGCTGTGGTGAACCAAGAAACGAATTCTGGGAAGGCTGGGGCAGAGCGCAGGCCGGGACGAGATTGAAGAGGAGGTGCAGCTTCGACTGAGCCTACTTTTCGTTTCTTCTGAGAAAGTCCTGATGTTAATCAAACACTGACTCACAGTATCAAACATTTAAGTACGGGCGAATCAAGGAGTTCTTCATTTGGCTAAAACCCGTCTGAAGGTTGACTGTGCTAAGCGGAAGTCTGGCGACTGGATGGACCCCACAATTTCTGCTAGAAATGGCAGCATACTTTTCTCGGAGCTTCAGTGATTGCCCCGTGCCATAACGAAAAACATCCAAAAAGAGTCTGGAGCCCCATCACCAAGACAAGCCAATGAAAAGACGGCTTGCAGCACCGAACATCTGGAATGCACCCTCAGATTCTGGATGTGACCCAAACGCCAGACCCTGGGAAACATTTCCCGCTCAAGGCAAGTCGTCTGCTCACTTCGAAAATTTAGCTTCCCATTGAAGATACAAAACAAAAGTGAACACAATGTGTTACAGCGGTCCTCAGATATTAGAGAATAGGGGGAGAAACAACACATCAGTTTGCTAAACGAATGGTCGTACAAGTGAAAAGCTCAGCATCACTTTAGAGAATTTCTTCTTATCAACGAGTATGGGAGTCGCGCTTTGAAAGCGAAGACGACGATGTGCGTCAAGGCATCCAGGTCCGTCGGCCTCCTCAAACACATCCTTCCAGTCATTAATGGTACATTCATGTATCGATGCAAGTGTTGTGAAAAGAAGAACGAGGAATGATTGCATTGAGCAGCATGAGGAGTACAAGTACCAAACCCTAAAGTGTTGTACCCCATATGAGCTACCCCACTACAGCCTACACAGACTATAGTGCATAAGTTTGACACACCCCCATAGGCAAAGTGGGGGAGAACAAGGGGTCACAAGACCAGTCAAGCAAAGCAAAGCAAGGTAAGCTCAGGGTGGATCACAATGTCACCACACAGTCTGAGCACAAGTTCAAGGCCACAAGGCCAGTTCACATGCAAGGTTACATATATATAACGCTAAACAAGCAAGGGCAGGTATATATATGTAACAGTACAAGCAAGGTCAAGAAGTAAGCAAGTGAGGCAAGGTAGGCACAAGACCTAACAGAGTACAGAAGCGCTGATGATCACAAGGCGCGAGTGCCTTAGTGAAGATATCAGCAGTGTTGGCCTAAGAGGCCACGTAAGCAAGGCGCAGCTGACCACGCTGCTGCAGCTCACGAGCAAGGAAGTAGCGGAGAGCGATGTGCTTCGTTCTGTGCTCCAGTCTGTGCTCCCGACACAAGGCCAGCATGGCCTTGTTGTCTACGTACAGCACTGGAGGAGAACGAGGCGGCTCTCCGAGGTCAGTCAGCAAGTAGGTGAGCCAGCGTAGCTCCTGTGCAGCCATGGCCCCTGCGTAGATCTCAGCCTCACAACTGGAGCCGAGAACAGAAGACGAGCGGGTAGACCGCCACGAAACAGAGCCGGAACCAAGGCTGAAGGTGTAACCCTGTGACGACCGCTGCGTAGCCTGGTCGTCGGCCCAAGAAGCGTCTGCGTGACCAGTGAGGACCACTGGACTCTGCCCTCCAAGCACAAGCCCCATGCCCGACGTACTGCACACGTAGCGCAACACCCTCTTCGCTGCAGCCATATGCTCTAGTCTATGTCTCCCAGGAGCAACATAGCGTGCCAGAATGCTAAGAGGGTATGCAAGGTCAGGTCGAGTGCAAGTCATCAGGTACATGAGGCAGCCGACAAGCTCTGCGTACGGGCCACTCGGCTCTACGGGCTCATCCGAAGGCAGAGCTGAGAGCGAGTGGCGTGTAGGCAGAGGAGTGGCCTGAGGCGAGGAGTACGTGAAGCCGAAGCGCTGAAGGACCTGCTGCACCATGTGTGACTGAGTCAGGGTAATGGTGCGCTGTGCTCTGTCCCGGGTGATCTGCAAGCCAAGGTAGCTGCGCAGTTCACCCAGGTCTGTGCACGTGTGTCTCTTCTGCAGCTCGGACTTCACGTAGGCAAGTCCAGCAGTGTCAGCTGTAGCAAAGACCAAGTCGTCGACGTACACGAGGATGTAGAACGGCGGCAAAGAAGTGTCGGTGCGCAGAAACAGCGACGGGTCGGCAGTAGAAGGAGCAAACCCAAGAGCCGCAAGTGTCGTCCTCAGTGTGTCGTGCCACTCACGAGGCGCCTGGCGAAGACCGTAGACTGGCCGCCGGAGGCTCCACTGGGTGCCAGGAGGAAAAGTCCCAGTGAAGCCAGGTGGGCGGCGCAGCCAGATCTCCTCGTGCAGGCTGCCCTGCAAGAAAGTAGTGCTGAAGTCAAGAGAGTGCAGCTCGTAGTCTCGGTAAGCGGCTATGTGCAGTAGTACCCGAAGAGTGGTCATCTTCGGGGTGGGAGAGAAGGTCTGAAAGTAGTCAACTCCCTGCCGCTGACTGAAGCCACGAGCCACGTAACGAGCCTTGAAGACAGGCGGAGAGCCCGGCGGCCGCTTCACCCTGAAAATCCACATGCCACTGACGATGTTCGCCCCAGGCGGGGGAACCTCGTCAACGTAGGTGCCTGTGGACTTCCAGGAAGCCATCTCTGCGTCCATGGCTGCCTGCCACTGAGAGGAGTAGGGACCCTCTATCGCCTCCGCGTAAGAGCGCGGAGTCGGGATGTCAAGTGCATCCGGGTCTTCCTCAGGGGCAAGCAGCATGGACACGAGATGAGGTGAAGCAGCAGCCAAGCACTGGAACTCCTCCTGCCTGTCCTCAAGGACGTCCACGCCAAGAGCACACTCACCCCCGACGAACGGAGGACAGACAGACTCAGACTCAGCGACGAGACTGGTAGCGTAGTCTAGGCGACAGCGAGCAGCGAAGTCGACAAGCTCAGCAACTAGGGCAGACGCAGCAGTAGACTCAAAGGAAGGGTCAGTGACGACAGTAGCAAGGAGACGCGTGACAGTAGGACGCGCAGCACGAAGGGAGTCCGACTCCGGGTCAGGAAGGTCAGGAAGAGAGGACGCTGGAGGAGAAGGCAAAGGGGCACGCAGGGGAGCAGTGGAAGGACGCAGAGACATCCGGTGCGTGCCGGGGACAGGGGGAGGACGCTGGCGCGAACCACGACCACTAGTGCGAGCAGCACGGACAGGCGACGCAGGGCGAGACGCAGGCTCACGACGCTCAGCAAGACCTCCAGTAGGACCAGTGTAGGGAGAAGGAGAAGGAAGCGGGGAGGCTGGCTGTAACTGTGACTCAGACTGGACAGGAGGCGGACACTCTAAGGCAGGAGCAGGACCAAGAGAGGACGGAAGACCAAGAACCTGCTCAAGGAGCGGCACAAAGTACGGCCGCGGCCGCGTAGCTCCACCAGTGCCAGCAGGAACAGCACCAGCACCCCCAGCGGGAGCACCAGCACCAGGAGGACCCGCAGCTCCAGCAGCTCCAACTCCAGCACCCTCAGCAGCACCAGCGCCAGGAGCACCCCCAGCGCCAACACCCCCAGTAGCTCCAGCTCCAGCCGGACCACCCGAAGACGCAGCAGCTCCAGCTCCAGGAGCTCCAGCAGCACCAACGCCAGCAGCACCAGCAGCACCAGCAGCACCAGCACCAGCAGCACCAGCAGCACCACCAGCTCCAGCAGGAGGAGCACTCGTAGGGCCAGCAGCTCCAGTACACTCGGTACGAGCACCTCTGGGACCCTCGGCACCAGCACTCTCAGCAGCAGTAGAACCTCCAGCTCCTGCAGCACCACCAGCTCCAGCAGCACGTCGCCAGCGCCGGGCGAACCACTCACGCAGCTCCTGTGGAGAGAGCAGCTCCCGCCGGGACGAAGCACCCGAAGAACTGTCAGGCTCAGCACCACCAGACGCCGGACGAGCAGGTCCAGCACCCTCAGGCTCCGCACTCCCAGTCTCAGCACCCCCAGGCTCAGTACCCTCAGGCGCAGCACCCCCAGGCTCAGCACCCCCAGGCCCAGCACCCCCAGGCTCAGTACCCCCAGGCTCAGCACCCCCAGACGCAGCACCCCCAGACCCAGCACCCCCAGGCTCAGCACCACCAGCAGCACCAGAGTCAACAGCTACCTCGACTGGCTCAACTGCATCTACCTGGGACACACCTGAGGGAGCAGGACCCTGAGGGGGGAGGGGGTCTACCGGAGGGGGACCTGGCGTAAGGAAGAGCGGCGGGGGAGGGAGGGACGCAGTGCGGTAGGGGAAGAGACGGTAGTAGGGAACCGACTCGTCAAAGGTGACGTCCTGGGAGGACAGAACACGGCGCGAGGTGGGGTGGTAGAACTGCCAGCCTGGCGCGTCAGGGGGAAAGCCAAGGAAGACGCAGGGAACAGCACGAGAGGACAGCTTGTCCGCAGACAAGTCGCGGACAAACGCCCTAGATCCCCAGACCCGGAAACGCGACGCATCACCAACCTTCCCCGTCCACAGCAAAGCAGGGGAGGTCTCCGGCATGGAGACCCGGGGGTGAAGGTTGAGCTGATGCGCCGCGTACCGAACCGCAAACGGCCACAGAAAATGGGGAGCAGCCGCATGGATC